CCTTTTACAAACAGCCTTGCATATTTTTGGGCATGCTACATGATTTCTCTATATCCTGCTCTCAACTAGCACCTTTTACATGAACTTCCAGGCCCATAAGGTGGTCATTCTTTAGTGGATGTCTATGACTTGTCCCCCCGATTATCCCAGTGGCAGACGGTTTCAAATTCCGCTTTACCTTTTCAAAAACTGGTTTATTTACACAGAGGTTGCCCAGCTCATTAAGAAAAATGTGGGGTGCTTGGCTCTCTAAATTCCAAGCACCCCACATGTATTGTACATGTATTTCCTGATTCTGACCATCCTTCTCCTCTTGTCACAGTGGCCTTAAGGGGATTTGTTTTTTGACCATGGGCTCTTTGGGGTTTTCATTTTCTTCAATTTGTAGAATTATTGTTTAACAGGATTTTGTTTTAATAACACACTTTATTTGTAATACTGTGCTAGGCATCCATGTAGTGTGGAGAGTGACTCTATTGCTGCTTTGTGAAAGTATGGATGCTCTCCTGTCTGTTGCCAAGTTCACTCTTTTGCCCAGTGTGCGTTATTTGTACTGTGATTGTTTGGTTCAATTAAGATATAGTAAAAAAGCCTTGCAAATATCCAATACTACAAAAGTCATCCAGACAAAATTTACCTGAACGCGTCTTGAGAAGTTATTACAAGCAGTATAACAGATAAGTAAAACTCGTAGGGGCTCTTAACTACTAAAGAACCATTGTGGTAAATGACCATCCAGACCCCTGTTTGTTAGCAATGTAAGGGTTTTCAGCTAACACTCTAGTAAGAAAATAAATGCTAACATCAGATTGACTGTTTGCATTGTTTGTATATGCACAACTCACATGCTGTTTTTAGATATTGTTTAAACAAAACCAATATGTGTTGGGGACAAAGTTCCACATTGTCTTTTCTCCAGCTAGGTGCAAGTACAAAGTAAAGGCAATTGTTGACAGCATGGTTCAAGACCACTAAAAATGTTGCAATCCTACACGATTAGACATGCATTGTGAAGGAAATGTTAGAGACTGTGACTCTCATTAACACTGCAAAGGAAACTTGGTACTGAGAGTGTTAGTTACAGTAATTCAAGATGTTTCTAGGAAAGAAATAGCTTCTTTTCACCTTGTACAATTAATAACAGGAGTTTTCAGTTACACATCTCTCCAATTGTCCTGCTTTGACACAAAGCATAAATGCCTTTCAGGCAAGAACACAATCACTATGTTCAAGTATCCATACCGGTGCAATCCACGGACAAAATGCAGGAGGCTGTTGTGAGGCAGAACTGTATAATACACCATCACATTGTTCATAGTTAAATAATCCCTCTTGATTATAAGCATTGCACAGGATAATACAGTGAAGATGAATTGGACACAGATTGTATTATTTTTAAGCACTGTTTGTTTTGCTTTCCATTGACTGTTATTACAGCAAACAAGTAAATAATAGTGTAAACTATTTTACTGATATAAGCATTAGCCCAGAGAGCAAGACATTAACATAAAAAAATACACATCAAGTTGCATTAAAATGTTTACTTTCATTGCAAAGGGATTAGGAAAATATTTGTGCTGGGTCTTAGAGCAGGCAAATATTGGATATTGCTATTAAATTATGTATTTGCAGAGGAGCTTAAAAACTGAGTTCCCTTTACCACTTCAAAATAATAAATGTTGCATTTGGTTTTTAATCATCTAACTTTGCTGCTTTAGTCATTGACCAGGGATATGGGGAAGCTAAATAGGAAAATGCTCTGTCAGCTGAGCTGTCTCTTCTCTATTTTTCAGCACAAATTGAAGTGATACCATGCAAAATTTGTGGAGATAAATCTTCAGGAATTCACTACGGTGTCATCACTTGTGAAGGCTGCAAGGTAAGAGGAGAAGCTGGAGATGTAATCAGAGATAGTATAGAAAAGTATTATTTGCTACTACTTTTACTGTTTCATATAATAATGATAGTCGCAATGGTTACATATCATCATACTCGTTATGAGAAAAGTAATATGGATTAAAGAAAACCTGTCTACATTTAAAACCTGCTTACATTGTTGCAGGCTTGAAAAACAGACACCAACAGTTGCTTGCACATACTTTTAAATATTTTACCATGTACACTAGGGGTCCCCAAGCTTGTAACTATTATGACAGCCTCACTAACCAGACAAAGTGTTGGACCAGTAGTGAGGCTTGCCAGTGCTCAGCTTCAGAAAATTAAGCCAAGATATTTCTGTCGAAAGTGTCTTTCAATTCATGTTTGAAATTAGTAATGATGTATTTGTATTATTTTATAGCCAAAGAAAATATTTTACTGCATTGTTTCTAATATATAGCGTCCCCCTCATGTCGGTTAGTGATACCCAAAGCAGTATAACAATACCGTTGGCTCCAAAGGGTGATCTACAGTACAAGAACTAATGGGTCTCCCTGTGTTTCCTCTGTAAGAAACCTCTATGATGGATCCATAGCACACCAGCACACCTTGATCCTAGGGTCGGTTGCTATGGGTTACTGCAATTCAGTCATGTTCTTTTCTAGAGTTAATTTAACTCACTTTGCCCATCAGCACTTACCACATTCTAGCCGTCAGTGTAACACAGGACGCCGACGGGACAGCTGCGGAATGCCGCATCTGTCCCGTTGGCGTCCTGTGGTACACAGACGACTAGAATTGGAAACTGTTTTCACATGAATCTCTTGGATTTTTGCTATTTGAGTTTCATCCAATTGATGAAAGAATTAAAGTGCTGTTATCTGCTACATTTGTGAGTAGAATATTTCTCTGCTTTTATTAATAAACCTGGTTGATGCCGCACACAGTGGTGCACTCTCCTTTTGTTTTTCTGCCCTGACAAGCCTTGGCCAACAGTGTTTTCTACTGGTCCATACAAATTAGCGTATACTCTGGTTAAATATGGCTGCGTCATAAGACTGTTATATAATATACTGTATATATAGACACTAAAAAGCCCAAGTCTAACCAAAATATGTTTTTCATTAGCTTTGGATGAAGCAGGGAAGAGTTAAAACATGTCATGTTTTTATCTCTGTCTCTGACCCCCATTAAGAAGAAGTATCCCAACATCCTGTTCCTGTGGCAACAATACAAGATTTGGGGAAGAGTGGTTGTCACTGAGACAGGGAAGCACAGACAACAATAAACACTTTATTAGAAATTATATCCCTTCTCTATTCTGTTAAACATGTGAAAGTAGAGTGAAATCCCACCAACAGGAACACAAGACAATAAAAAACCTGACAGAGGTTCTAACTCTTCCCAGGTCTACCCAAAACAAAATAAAATGTTTTGGCTGGGGTTGTTTTTAGGTTTGTCTGTTCACTTAGAGAACTAGCTGCTCAGTTAGTGGTGACCAGACCAGATCTGTTTGAATTCCAGATAAAGCAGACACAGTATATGTGGGCTCATACACAAATATGTAGTCTGTTTACAAGTACATCAACAATGTCAGCCATCCCATACCTGATATCAGTCAGCCTTGAAAGTCAGATCCTTCACTGTTTAAATCACACCTTGAAGTGAAAACATGTGGTAGAGCTTTAACAGGTATCACCAATTGTTTTTATTATAGGATTTGTTGGAAACCTTCCAAAGCCATCTGTCAAGTCGGTTGAAAAGTCAGTCACCTGGTTTCTTCAATATAAAGGCATCTGATCTGAGAGCTGCCTCTCACACTGGAAATTCTCCTACTGGTATCATTAATGGCAACTGACATGTTACCTAGGTAGAGTGGGCAGCTGTACCTAGGAGAGTTGGCATTCAGTGATATCAGTGGCATTATTATCAGTGTGAGTGGCAGCTGTTTATTCCTCACATAAGCTGTGAAATCAGCAGTAATTAAGCTCATCTTGCTTCTTCTGCAAACTAACAATCCATAGGAGAAAGTGAGTCAACTCATAGCAATGCCGTCCCTAGCGAGTTTTGTCCAGGGACAGAATGACAAGGTGACATGGATCTTAGTCAGAAGACAAGAGCTTGCCTTGAGCCTTCCATTACACAAGAGACCACCTTTAAAATACAGTATAGGAATGCATTTGCTTAGGTGCAGAAGTAGGAACTGATTATATCAATGCAGGCACATCATTAAAAAGTTATACTTATGTTGCCATTTTTAGGGCAGAGGGTTACATGTAATTCTAATGTATCAGTAGATATCACCTGCTTCATCAGCAGTGGGGAAGCAGGAGACTCTACAAGAATGGCAGACAGGCCACAGTGATATAATACATACTCCTGAAAATATGGTAGGGAGAAGCAATGCCTAATCCATGAAGCATGACTCATCCATCTGAATCACTAGCAGGGCTGGATTCCCCACAAGGCCACTGAGGCCATGGCCTCAGGGTGGCAGGGATAAGAGGGGCGGCAGTGGCGTAACTAGGAGGGTGCCGGGGGTGCGCACCGCCCCCTGGGTTACACCCACCTGGGGGTGACACCAGTGCACCCCCAAGTCCCAACATCAGGTAGATGGGGGGGGGGCAACCTCAGGGTGTTGTTCCTGCTCATATGCAGTACAGGGCCAGTGTTATAACAGAATCCCGGGCTGGAACACAGTCGCCGGATTGGGAGAAGTCCCCATGCTATCCTCCTGAGGTCCTTGCGGTGCAGAGGTGGTGAGCTGTATGGGGCTGTGCCAGGTGTGGGGGGAAGCTCCTTGATCAGGGTGTACTACAGGTCGGTGTTCTCCAGAGAACTGGTGAGCATCACAATAAATGTGATATGCTACAATTTTGTTTTGTTTTTTCCTGTTGGACAGAGTAGGTGAGGTCAGTCAGATTTGCATGGCGTTTTCTGCAGCCATAAAAGAGCTTTATTTAATATTAAATATCATAATGATTAATATTAATATCATTGGTAAATTACAAGAATAGTGGTGTGGGGGGCGGGTTGCGGGGAGGGGGTGCATTGAGGAACCTGGCCTGGGGGCAGCAGAGAGAGTAAATATGGCCTCGGTCACTAGGATTTCTATTCTCGTATGATATAAGAAATCCAATATGAAAATGCAAAATGTTATTAGTTTGGGTCATTTAACTATATATGAATTAAGATGATTTACGTGGATAAATTAGGATTTAGCCACCGGATTGAAACAAGTTAACTAGGCTGGATCATTTCTGCGAGTTGTATTCTACTGCTATAAATAGTCATTATAGTAAAAACCCCATGCATCATGTTTATGAAGGGTTGCCTATATATGACCCAATCTCTGCAGCAACACATACTTTATGCTCTCACAAATGCTTGTTATTGCTTGCAACTTAAGCACACCCTTCCTGATTATCTCAAGGGAAGCTCACATCAGCTAACCTCTTGCAATAATCAGCAAGGTGCCCTTGCCAGCACTAACAGGAATTTGTGAAAATAATAAGTGCTGGTTTTCTCCTGCCGAGACATTAAACATGATGGAAAGCTTTTTAGAGTGTGCAACTGATGAGCATTCATTCCCATTTCTTTACAAAAAGGAAAAGAACCTTTTACTGTCCATGCACCTGTCTTTAAATTAAATCTGGCATGAGAGTAACATGGAGGCTTCCATTGCTGAGCTCTCCAGAAAATGCTAGTTAACTGGCTGGCCTGCTCACCCTCTATAATTAAAACTTTGAATCACTGAATCATTTTTTCCAACTTTCCTGATCTTTATGCTTTTTCCAGGACAGTATTTTAAAGTATTGTAACCAGAGGGTCAGCAAAACACCCAGACAGCTAGCCTTTGTAGATGGAGAGAAGGTGAGTGGAAAAGGACAGATTTTTCCAAAACTAGAAAAAAACATTTTGGCTGAAGTCAATGAACTCTGGGCATAATTGTTCTTAACCATTGCAGTGGGGCTTCCCCCACACTCCAAGGGTTAAGTGCTCGGTTTTGTGTAGGGATAAAAATAAAAAAAGTTATACTCACCTGAACCTTGCAGCTTGCTAGCTGTTAGACCGGTCCCTGCCGCCGGTCTTCCCCTCCACTCCAGCGATCTAAGGTCCTGTGAATCATCATGTTCTATACAGTGTATAGGACGTGAGGATGCCGAGGGACATTCCATTACTGGAGCAAAGGATCGGGTGAGTATAACTGTTTTATTTTCGTCCCTAGACAAAAAAAAGCACTTAACCCTTACAGTGCAGGTGTAGCCTCACTGCAAGGGTTCAGATTAATTATGTCCGGAATCCTTTTTTTAAACTTAATGAGTGATCGGCCCAACTTTCCTGCATCTTAAATATGATTGTAGGGTAGGGTTTAACAAGTTTCTGTGTAATGTTCACATTATTTCCAGCTAGAAGACAAACTAATGCCTCTGATTAACTGGACAATGAGTTGCTCTTAAATACTTTTTCCACTATTTTTAAATATAGCTACAGATATTAGTCCTTTAATTACTTGCATATCCTCAGGTGTAATTGAGACATTATGTCTACAAAACATAATATAAAAAGAGTTACTTCCCTATTAAACAGCAGCACAAATCAATTGATTTAGTAAGATTAAAGATTTTGCAAGATTAAAGTCAAATGACTCTGTGATAGAACTATGTACAACATTCTAGAAATCTGCTTAATTGGAAATGGAGTGACGACAAGTAAACGAATTACATGAATACTCTAAAAAAAATCACTAATACTATCATTATTGGGCATTTGCTTATTGCAGTAAAAAAAAAAATTAAACAGAATAGAATGTAAAAAAATGTAGATACTCATAGCATAAGAACAGCCATTTTCCATCAGATGAGCAATCTTTTCACATTACTATTTCTTTTTTTTTAGAGTGTAACTGTACTGAGAGTCCAGGCTATGGACATTCAAATATATACATATTCTTAAGAGACTGTAAACACTTTAAAACAAACCCTCACCTACACCTGTAGC